GGCAAGGGCGGCGCCGACGCGTCCGGTTTCTTGCCCAAGCTGAACCGGTCTAAGACTCCGTCGCGGAGCAAAGGCTTCTCCGCCCATTTGGGAGAGCCCTCGGCGCCAAAGACCTTATCCTTGGCAGCGTAGACCCGCTCCCGGAGCTCGTCTCTCTTGCCCTCGAGCATCAGGTAGAAGAGCTCGGTGGTGGACTTGGCGAACTGGTTGATCTGCTTGTGGGCTTCGGGGTTAAGGATGGCGAGGCCGGCGTAGACGTGCCATTTCTGGGCGTAGATGCGCAGCATGAGGTTGATCTTGACGTTCTCGATGCCGCCTACGTAGCGGGAGATTTCCCAGGGGAATTGTTGGTTTGCGTGCCAGGCCTTGCCCATGCTGAGGAACGCGGCGTGGGTGACGGCTTGGGTATCGGCCGTGATACGATCATGTTCCTTGGCGGTGAGGTAGACATGTTTGGACTCGAGACAGCTGAGGACAGCTTCGACCTTGTTGAAGGACTCGTCGGAGGCACGGTGCTTGATCAAAACCAAGGGTTGGCCGCGGGTATCGACGTTGGGGCCGTGGAGGGAGTGACAGGAGACAATGTCGACATCGGAGGGGAGGTACTCTTCGAACGCTTTGATCTCGGGGTCTTTGCAGGACGTCTGGCCTCCTACGATAGCACCGAGGCGGGTTGCTAGAAAGAAAAAAAAACAAGCAAGGTAAGAAAGTGGGCTTTTCAACAGAAACGTTTCATCAGACAAACACACATGGACCGTATTGGGCAACGACACGACCGATGGCCGCGGCTTCTACGCTGTAGATGATGTAGCTGCTGGCGCGGGACACGAGATGGCCGTTCTTTAGTATTTGTATATTGGTCTATAGACACAGAGATCTCAGCACTGGATTCTGCAGCGAAGAGATCATGAGAAGATCAATCCATACATGGTCGGAAAACTCCTGGACCAGCTCCTCGTATTTCTCCTCTCTGTCGCAGGCCATGACTCTGATCCATGCGAATCCATCATTAGCTACCAATCCACCTGTTTACGGGTATGATGTTCTGGAAATCTGAGTGTCAAAGTTAGCGGACATTTCAAGACCGAAATTTTTTGACGAAAAAGTTTGTGTCAAGGTGATACATCAGACGAAAAATAGTTAGGTAGCTGAGAATTTTCATCATGGATTGTCCGCAGCAACGATCGGGGCCAGAATGGCTTGCCAACCGCACCACGGACGATACTCTAGCCAAATGCACTCAAGTCATCATTGTATGGGGAGGGTGGTGGTGGTGGTGGTGGTGTGCGATGAGAGAAGAGGAACAGGAACGTACCATTTGGAAGCAACACTGAACGGTGCTGTGGTTAGTCGAAAGAAGAAAAGCATTACCTCCATCCAGCCTGGCTGAGTCTACGGGCGTACATTTTGCCCATGTCGCCCATACCGATCAAACCGATCGCGAAGTCTTTCGACCACGCGAACTCGGATGCGGAAGCCATTTTATGAAAATGGTCTGACAGACTGCTGAGCCGTGGTTGGCAAGATCACATCTCTCAATGCGCCAGCAGGATACGGAAAGAAATCTTTCGAGCCTGGCTGGTTTCTTCGTCGTTGTTGCGAGTGTTGGAGAGGTGAAGGAGTGAAAGAAAAATTCGAAGATCAGAAATCTAAATTTAAGCTCGTTCAATGTGGGGCAATCAGCCATCCCACCAAAAAAATCCGCCGGACCGCCATTCTCCAAGCTCCACTGCCGGAACACTGTGTCGCACTGTAATCCGGCACCTGCACCTGCCACCTCATCCTCCACCCCAACTGGGCAAACCCAGTAAATTTTCAACTTTACCACCTCTTTTATACGCAGGCCGTGTAACAGAAAGTGGACAAAGTCAAGCCAGAAAATGACCATCTTGCTTGCATTTGGTTCTAATGGCTCCGGGCAGCTCGGAACAGGACACAAAGATGATGTCTCTGCGCCCACGCAAGTTATCCTCCCACCACAACTTGCTGCCTCCTCATCCAAGGTTACAATCACCCAGATAGCAGCAGGGGGGAACCATACCCTTCTCCTTCTCAGCTCTGGCGATGTCCTCTACAGTGGTACCCTCCTCTCCGAGTCGGATCCCTCCACCACAACAGACCAGTTCACACCATTGCCTCTCCCGGAAAACACCACAGCGCAACATGTAGCTTGCACATGGACAGGTAGCATTATATCATGTAGCAACAAGAAGGTCTACTCACTAGGTGTCGGTACCAAGGGTGAGCTTGGCCTCTCGCAGGCAACACTCTCCTCACCAACTCTGCAAGAAATACCCGATTTCCCACCTGCCGACACTAGTGTTGTGGCGCTCAGTGCAAGCATGTCCCATGCTGTGGCTGTCCTGGATAATGGCAAAACTTATGCTTGGGGTGCCAATCGTAAAGGTCAGATAGGACAGCCTTCATCACAGGCTGTCCACTCGCCCCGTCTCATAAGCGAAGTCCCGTTTCCCGTCCAAAGGGCAGTGTGTGGGCGTGAGTTCACGGTCCTATTCGGATCACCAGAAACGGGAGATATGAAAATTATAGGCTCAGACAAATGGAAAATCCAAACCCGGGCCCCTGAACCCCCAGAGCTCCAAGGGTGGAAAACCGCCGGCGCAGGTTGGGGAAGTGTTTGCGTGCTCCAAAAGGATGGGGCGCTGAACTCTTGGGGGCGAAACGATCATGGGCAGCTGGGACCGGCAGCAGGCAAGATAGGCACCATACAAGACATTGCTGTTGGTAGCGAGCATGCGTTGGCTCTCACACAAAAAGGAGAGGTAGTTGCTTGGGGATGGGGGGAACATGGAAACTGCGGGCCACTAGAAGAACAGCAGCACAAGTCGGGGCCGAGCCAGATTCAGGTGCCGACAATTGGTTCGGCGAAGGTGGTGATGCTTGGGGCAGGGTGCGCAACAAGCTGGATTGTCCTGGACGAGCACGAAGTCAATGGCTGAATCGCGCTATTCCGGATGATGTCCATTCTCTATGCACACTAACTGCTGCCAAACATCAATTGCTGTCCCAAAAATCTCGAATTAGGGAGAAAACAGTCCAAAACGGCGGACCTATAAGTGCTGGTTAGCTCAATGGAAACCAACAAAGGGTGGGAAAACGTGCCTGAGAAAGCCGTTGGGTAGGCTCAAGCCCCGAAGCTGGGTGGTCTGGATCATCATCTTCTGGCGCCGCGACGGGTCCCTTGTCAACGTAGCTACTAATCCGCATCGACGACGGGTTCTGTGGGGATTTGTCAGCAAATTTATTTAAAGGGATCAGGACCAAACAACTCTTACCGGTTCGCTGTTGGTGTTCCACTCCAGCCGAGCATTATCCTCCTCCTCCTCTTCCTCTTCGGGGTTCACAGGTTCCCACTGTTGGTCGTCATCATATTGCCCCACGAATAGCGAATCAGACCGTGTAGATCGAGAGGTACCCGGAGGCGGATTTTGTGGGCGAATCTCGAATCCAGGATGCCGAGACTGGTCTTGAGACTGGTGTTGGGAAGGTTTGGCCTTGGGGGCAGTATTTGACGCAATTGGCTGTGGGTTTGTACTATTCGTCCCAGAATTCGCCCGATATGATGCTGCATCGAGCTGCGCCGGTGCTGCAGCGGCCTTCGCGGCACTTGATCGTGGTGCTTTATGTTTCTGGCTCATGGCGTCCTTTTCTCCGATCGTCATCAATATAAATTCGCAGAGAATGCCATCAGCACCGTATGACAGCTTCATGGGGCGGCCCGGGTTGCTGTAAGTTGTGACTAGCTCGCCACTGGTTATTTGGGCATGTTGGAGGATAGCTCGGAAGTCTTTGACGCTGATAATTATGTGCAATTTGTCTTCCACCTCGACATCATCGAACTCATCCATTTCGACCGCGATGTTGGTGTGGAGAGGTTTTTTGAGGACTATATAGCGGTCAGTAGCTGTGATTGCCATCAGAACGATATGATGATTACCTTCACCGTCATTTCCACTGCGTTTTTGTACCTTCTCCGTAAAGCAAGTGAAGTTGACAACACGATTGTCTTCATTCGTGTTGATATCAAGAAGCTCTATCCCTGGACCGAAGTGATCCATGAGCTGCCGAAGTGTCTTGGATGAAATAGTCCAGTGGTTGCTCGCCTCCTCCTTGTTGAACTTTGCGTGTACTGGTGCTTTGACTTCATACGGCAATGAGTGCGAAGCCGTGATTCCTTTTTGAGAGTGTCAGTGCATGATCAATCTATCGAGACAGTAGTACGTACCATTCCGGAAGGAAACTCTCGCAACCAACCGACTCTTCTTTCCGTCGCCGTCATCAATGGCCACATCACAACGCTCTATCGAGGATGTCCCATCTCGTGATTCACTGGCGCCGCCACTTTGACGAGCTCTAAAGATGGTAAGGAGAGACTTGATGTACAGTTGACAAGAGAACTTGTCTCGCTGTTGCGGAGTCCCTTCGAAGCTGTAACGTGAGAAGAATCTGTTGGCGGCAAAAGAGTAGCACACGTATGCTGACTTGCTGATGTTGAGGGTTGTCAAAGTCAATTTATCTTTTCTGGCCTCGAGACAGACATCGTCGCTGAACTTGAACATGCAGGCCAGGGCGTCGTGGAGCACGGCAACGCCGTCTTCACTCAACGTGAAGTTGAACACCACCATTTCGCTGGCCAAATGTTCTCAACAAGACTCGCAGAATTCTCGAAGGACAATTGAGGGCAGGAAAACTGTGAAATCCAAAACAGGATACGATGTCCTTCAAACTTTTATGCGTTAAGGAGGAAGGTGCGGAGTGAAGCTTTTGGTGCAAGAAGAGGTCCGTTCCAGGCTGCCACTGTGGAATTTCGGGCGTATTGACCACTAATAATCTCAGTACCGTTCTGGTTGGTAGACAATGTCAACCAAGTCTATCTTCCATTCAGCTCGGTGTAATAGCTGGTACAACCAAAACTGGAACAAAAATAACCAAATTTCTGCAAAACTTAAGGGACATTTGCGGTAATGTGCAAAATATTATGACAAGAGTGGGATTCGAACCCACGCCCTTTCGGACTAGCATGAAAGTCATTGATAATGACCTGAAGCTAGCGCCTTAGACCGCTCGGCCATCTTGCCTTCTGATTGGTTGATATCCTTTATGTTCAGAAGCCCCCTTCTGAACGGTGTTGTCCTCGTGTCTTTTCATGTTCAAGAACCTCAGAAAGATAGGAGAGGATGCCAGGAAAGGTTGCCTGTAGATCTTGAGTTTTTATCCAAAGAATATGGGACAAGATATCCACTCCTACCTACACTTGCCACCTGCAGATGCATGAATTCCTATGATGAAACGCAGCATCTCACTTCATCTTAAGGGAGATGAGACCAACACGAGGTTGAGGATAGAGGAAGAAGATTCACTGACTTGGTAACTTTTTATGATAAAGACACAAGAATAAATGCCAATGGAGTCTGATGACTGAGCCGGATAGTCTCCCGTGGCAAAAAAACAACTTAAAGGAAGGAAGCGGATCAAGTGCAAAGCCCATAGCTTGAGAAAATCAACGAAGTGCCTGCCCCCAAGACAGCGAATGATACCCAGAGTGGAAAATAACACTGACATACATCATACCGGTAGCAGCCTCGACAACTATCTACCTAAGTTAATTTCTTTCCTTTCCTCAAAGTGAAGAACACTCACATCGTATTGCCAGAAGCCTCCCTAAAAAGACAAGAACTACCTAAAGAAAGCAGCCTAGGTGAAACCAAGCCACCGTCAGAGTCCGTCACAGGCTGTCGTCTTCCACATGACAAAGCACTTGCCTCCTTCACACTTTGTCGAGTCCTTTGAATCTCACACATACAGGGCGGATGGCGTTTCAGATCCCCTCGTGTTGACTCCGGGGTGCTTCTCATCTTAAGGCTGTCGCAAACTGTCCTTAGCAAGGCTATGAACCAGACGTTTCGAAAGCGCCTATGTGCGTGTACGAGTCTCGATAACGTTATAGTCTCGCAAGGCGAGCCGGTTACGCACCTGAACGAGCACACGGCTCGGTTCAGGGGCGGCTTGTACTTTCAGTGGCCTGTCGAAATTGGAAGACCATGAAGAAGGATGCGTCTCTACCGAGATCATTCGTGATGTACATACTGTGTCTGTAAGGTTCTTTAAGTTGAGATGATTCCTGGAAGACTGGATACAAGCACCATGGGTACTTTCTTTGCTACCTAGGTACTTCATGATGCCTATCCAGGTACTCAAGAATCATATATGAATTTGATATACGTGTACTAGACTCTTTGCTACGAGTGTACTTGGATTAAAGGTAGCCTGTGTTTTCTAAATCAACATGAGTGTCTTTGAATTAATGGCAATAAATACAAAAAGTTTGTCCTGAACTTTGAAGTAAACAAATATATCAAAGCTCTTTGTACCTCATTACTTTCTCTATAAACCATGTATGAATTTAAAAACACATATTAATTTGTGAAGAAATTGAATTACAATATAAATGAACAAGAAAATGAATATTACATCTTCCATCATGAACTACAGGCGGAATTCAACAGGGCACGCTTCTTTGCAAAGGCCTTTTGGAGTACCCGCACCACCCTTTTCTGCTCTTTCTCAATCCAGTCAACAAGTCCACCTGCATCGAGCTACCGCTTCACCTCATCCTCCTGCCGTTCCTGAACTTCCCTTGACAGCGGTGGATGGTCCGAGTCACTTATATTCCATATATCGCGCCTCTATCTAGCAGCAGCTGGAGCACACTCCCATATCCTTTCACCGCTGCTAGTAATAGCGGCGTTTGGCCAGAATTATCTTTCGCCTCGATGTCGGCGCCATTGTCAAGTAGGAGCTTTACTATATCCACTCTCCCAACGAATGTCGCCCATGATAGCGGTGTCTGGCCAGAAGTATCTTTGGTCTCGATGTCGACGCCGCTGTCAAAAAGGAGCTTTACTATATCCACTTTCCCTTCGCGTGCCGCCCATGATAGCGGTGTCTGGCCAGAATTATCTTTGGCCTCGATGTCGGCACCATTATCAAGTAGGAGCTTTACTATATCCACTCTCCCAACGAATGTCGCTCATGATAGCGGTGTCTGGCCACAATTATCTTTGGTCTCGATGTCGACGCCGCTGTCAAGAAGGAGCTTTAGTATATCCACTCTCTCAAGGAATGCCGCCCATGATAGCGGTGTCTGGCCAGAATTATCTTTGGCCTCGATGTCGGCGCCATTGTCAAGAAGGAGCTTTACTATATCCACTTTCCCTTCGCGTGCCGCCCATGATAGCGGTGTCTGGCCAAAAGTATCTTTGGTCTCGATGTCGACGCCGCTGTCAAGAAGGAGCTTTACTATATCCACTTTCCCTTTGCGTGCCGCCCATGATAGCGGTGTCTGGCCAGAATTATCTTTGGCCTCGATGTCGGCACCATTATCAAGTAGGAGCTTTACTATATCCACTCTCCCAACGAATGTCGCCCATGATAGCGGTGTCTGGCCAGAAGTATCTTTGGTCTCGATGTCGATGCCGCTGTCAAGAAGGAGCTTTACTATATCCACTTTCCCTTTGCGTGCCGCCAATGATAGCGGTGTCTGGCCAAAAGCATCTTTGGTCTCGATGTCGGCGCCATTATCAAGCAGCTGCCGCACCATAGCCTCATTGTCTTTTATTATGGCTTTCATTAGTGGTGTTAACCCCATATTACACTGTGCGGTGATATCTGCACCGTTGTCCAACAGGAGCCTCACGATAGCGTCATGACCGCTCTCGATGGCCAAGTGGAGAGGCTTGTTTCCGTGAGGATCTCCCATTGGGCTCACATCTGCGCCCTGGCTGACGAGTTGTCTCACCGCGGCTTCATGTCCCGCCTGCGCAGCACATAATAGGAGACTCCCAAGACTCTTCTCATTTGCTCTCGGAAGTCCATCCGCAACGAAAAACGCCAGGAGTCGTGCATCATCAAAATTTCTCAGGTTCGAGTCAACACCTTGTTTGCGAGAATAAATGAAGGCACGGTCGATAGACCGTCTGGGTCTATATTGAGAATATTTCAGCCATTCCGCAGACCCATGTGGCAGAGTTTCTAGCCATGGATCAAAGAAAATCTGAGCAGTTTTATGATTGCCAGGAGCAAGGGCAGCAATAATTGGTATTCCGTAACGCTCGTCCTCAACATCAAAGCAAGACTGATTAGGTGACAGACTTCGACAAACTCTGACGAGAGCTGTCAAGCCCTTTTCCGATGATATGTATAACCAACTTGGCTTCGTCCTGTATCGGCGAATCTCGTGTTTTTCAAAGAGGTTGCTGAGCAGGATCCAGTTGTCAAGCTGGAAATTGAATTGCTGCAGAAAACCTGCCTGGCTGATGCCGCCTTCTTCTGCTGCGTCTGCATGGCAGAGTATATTCTGTGTGGCGTACTCTAAGAAAGGATACCTTGTCGTTATCGATTGCCTGAGTTCTTTAGCTTCCGCTGTCCTTGCTTTGGGAAGCGGATTGGGAATATCGAGAGAAGGGATATTGTCTATGTGCATGTAGGTGAGACAGCACTTTTTTAGACGCTCGTGGCTGGCAGCTGTGAAGTCACCCTCAAGGCCCGGCCAGATATCCTTGAACCCACCATTTTTCAGCCTCTCTTTGTGAAGAAAGTCCTTCACGGATTCGTGAATGAACTGCACTGTCGGGATCTTTGATTTGGTAACCTCAGCCAGTCCCTTGGAACAGTCCAAGATAAATCTTCCCATTAACGTCCTTGTAATTTCATCTTGATTCCACTCCGACAAAGGCTCGGACTCGCTGTCGGCGAGAATAGCAAAGTACAGTTGCTCTGGTGTCAGGGGTTGTTTTGCAAAGAGCACCCACTGAACACAAAGAAGCAGGTCGCCCCTGTTATGGGGGTCCCGCGTCAAGATGTCGCGGAACAACTCGTGTAGATCCTCCGGAATATCTCTTAGTATCTTCCGGAGTGTGTGTATGCGTCCACTGTCGTACGCCTTGTTCAGAATGTCGACTACGAGGACAATCCAGATGAAGACTCCGGATGCCTTTCCCTGGAGATCCGCTCGGATCTCTTCAGCCAGCTTGGTATGCTTGATCTTCAGTTTGCTGTCCACGTAATTGATGATGTCCTGCTTGTGTCCTTCCTCTTCTTGTAGGACAAGGTCGAGGCTGTTATTGATCGAGATATATGGGTAATGCCTGCTCGAAAAGCACACCTGAAATCTGACACCAGTTTCTGTGGCTACTTCTCCGAGGTGCTCAAAGAATGATACCATATCTCGAACCTCACTATCGTCACACTCGTCCAATGCATCGATGAAACAAACTACAGAAGAACTTCCAAGCCCACGGACAGCTTCTTCGAAAAGTTCCTTGAGTGACTCAATGCTCCAATGATGTGATCCGTCAGTCCATGTGATGAATCCGAGGGATTCGAAAACACTTTCTTGAAGTGCAGGAATGCGCTCGAGAATCTGGAGAAGCAGTGATCGATACATCCCTGAAGTAGACTTCTCGAGATGCTCACCTCGTGCGTTGAAGAAAAAGGAGATGACATGGTCTATGTCCTTGTTGGCTTTCATCTTCTTCAAGACAAACTTCATCAACGTCGATTTTCCGGTTCCCGGGTTCCCTTTGATCCAAAGAAAACCGTAATGCTGGCAAAGCTTCCCTGGGTCAAGCCAGTCGGTATATTCGGACTTCTTAAGTAACCATTCGCAAGTCTTGGCATGTGCGTTCTTGATGGTCATCCGGCGAGCATCAAGCTGGTCGAATTCCAGAGATCCCAGCAGGAGTCGTCGTTGCTCTTCGCTCAGCTTCAGAGGTTTCTTCTTTCTTACAATCTTCCTGGAGGCGGTATTTGTAGCTGCGATCCGGGTCAGGGCAGCGGCCACCTTTTTGTACTCGACATCGTCATGTCCTGCAAAGCGGCACATTTCCATGTGGTTCCGCCCAATATGCTCAGGTACTTCAATCATTGGCAAGTTAAGGCATGATGACGAGTCGTCAACCGCCTACATGATACTTGGTCAGTACTGTCACAGGAGCATATGCTAAAGATGAGATCTCACCTTCTTTCCGAGGATACCCACTTCGTATTGCTCTTGAAAGGAGTGAATAGTCCAATTTTG